TGGGAGTTGGCTGGCAGTTTATTTCATGTTATACTTAAATCAGGCACACAGCTTTCCCTTCACAATGTTAATGGAAAGGAAAAAAGGCTCTCCTCACACACCCTCATCTTCTCCCTATTTTAGAAGCACATCTTCCCCTCACACCACAATGAAATCACTTCAACCTTCTGCCTGCAAGCATATGTCCCTCCTTTGTAATCTGAAGTCCCACAATCTATGACAGCCTCCAACAAGATGCTTGGTCAGCCTGGCATCAGATACTGAATCAGTTGATGCTATAAACCCTTCTTCTGCACAACACAAATTTCACAGAATGTTTAAATCCTTCACCTGCCTGAACTTACTGTCATCCTTATGGGAGATACATTGGGTGGGCTTGTACATCACAACAAATAACAATAGATCGGTTACCATGGTTGGTGGTTGGTTACCATGTTGGTTCTGGCAGACTATGGACAGGGTCACTTGTAATGGCAAACGGCTGTGGTAAATTGCCACCATAGCTTAGCATTAAGTGTCGAGCACTGACAATGAGCCCAATCACTAACCAGGCTCATTGTAATTGCTTTGCTCTCTCCCTTTGTCAATTTCTCTCTCATTTCTCCTGGTGGTATCCCAGGGGACACACGGGGAAGAATGAAGTTCCTCCCTCTGACAGTGGATACCCCCCCACACACACACACACTTACTCCTACCTGACAGTAAGCCTCTAGGGCACAAGTGGGAGCAGGTGTTACTGAGGGGCTTAGTTGCTGCTCCAGATATAAGGTCTCTTCTAGGTCTGGCTCCATCCATCCAATATTGCCCAACAGTCAAAAGGCTCTCTAAGAGCAGGATGTGGGAGGAAATGGGGATGCCTCCAACAGCTGCGCTAAACTGGGGCAACTGCTGGCAATGCTTTCTGACTGGTTGCTCCTGCCAAGAGGTACCTTGTTTCTATCAATGATGGGTTGTGCCATTCAAATTCAAACAACACAACAAGACATTGTAGTAGGTAGAAGCTCTAGAACAGACTACTGTGCTTTACTGTGTTTGGTTCAAAATGGTCAGTCACCACGGGTGGGTTCAGACTATACAACAAGCAACCTTTTTATTGTTGTTTGCTCGTTATGTCATGCAAACCCAGCCTGTCATTGTTTCTGGTCATCCTTATGGTTTTGTTCTTCCCAGTCCTACCTGTCCTCAAGGCAGGCACCCCAGAGGATATCACTCCCTTCTTCTGTAGATAGTTTGTTCCCAACTGACCTGCTGAGTGCGCCCCTCTCCCTTCTCCTGCAGGAAACTTTAACCCTTTCTTCCACACTCCACAGCCTATAAATACCCCTTCTACTCCCTATTTCAATTGGAAAAAAAGGGTTCCTGCATACGCTGCCACATATTTCTCTGCTTGTTACTCTACCTGCATTTACCCAGCAGTCTTGGTCACCATAGAGAAATATTTCCTCCATCCACCCCCACAACTGTCCCTGGCACCTGTGCTACAAACTATGGCTTGAATTGCTCCTAACTCAGCCACCAGCACCCAATCTTACCATCTATCCTTTATGCTCAGTTTATGCTCCTCCTCCTCCTTTTGCTCCCGCTTGCTCTACCATACAGATGATGATGATGATGATGATGATGAGCACATTATGCACCCTCCTGCACACGGTCTGGAGCCTGTAGCCCAAACAGCCGCTTTTGATCTCTGACTGCCCAGCACGGAAGCCTCTCTCGCTTTCCTTTCCGCAGCTCTCCAGCACTTGCTCCCACCTTGACTAGCACGCAGCTGAGGTTGTGCACACGTCTTGCCCCCAGGCCTGGATCTGCGCAGCAGTGCACCTCTTTTGCTGCTGCTTCTCACACACCTTGTGCCCCTGTGTCTCCAGCAGTTCTCCCATCTAGCCAGCCTCCCGCCTGTTGCTGGTCCGGCCGGGATCCTTTCCATCCCTCCCTTCACCTGCAAGCCCCTCTCACTCCTGCAGTCACAGCTCCATCTTGACCCCATTTTCCAGACCTCTGCTTGCTCCCCAGCTCCCCTCCCCACTTCGCCCACACCATCTACTTGTACAGTTCTCCACTTGCAATCTGCCCTTCTTATATTAAAAGCATGCTTTGTTTGGAAGAAAAATCAAGGCAATTTTTGGCATTCTGGTTGTAAAAATAAAAAGCACTCTACAATTAAAATATTTCTTTATTGACTAATTGAAATGCTGCTGTGTCTCAGAGTGGTGCTCCTCTGCCAAAGACTGCAGGCTTTGCTGGTGCCCTTCTAAAGGAAAGTTCCTACGATAATGTCCTAGTTTTCCTGTTTGATATCTATTCAAATACTGCTCCTTCTGAGTTATACTCCTCCTTACAACTCAAGTAGTACTTAAAAGAAGAGAAAGCCTGTTAAAGTAAAGCTAGCGGTGAGTTGTGTTGCTAGGCAGATGTCAGGACTAGAGGCTGGATGACTGGACCGGCTGCTTGCTTTGTCACTCTTGTCTGGCATATGTGTAGGATTCTTCAGGCATCAACAATCATCCTAACAGCTAGTTAGGACATCACAACAAATGATTATGGTAGAAACAAATCCTAGAACAGACCATTTCCTCTTACTGTGGTTGACAACAATGATAAATCATAAGTCACCTCAACTAGATTCAAACAACACAACAAATAAATAATAAAAACAATCCGTAGTTACTTATCAGGTCATGCAAACCTAGTCATTCCTTAATCCTGACTAAGGTATTCAAAGGCGTTCTGTGTAAGGCCAATTTTGAGCTAATCCTTGACAGGTTTTACTTGGACTATCAAATATATCTGGAAACACATACTGAGATCAGATTGACTCTATTTCTGCACTAGAATCAAGACTCTGGATTATGCAGCCTACTTTCCCTGACCATATTGTCAGGGTTCTGTCACATACTTTCTTTTTCTGACATAGAGATTATTCTTTCTTGAGAAAAGGCATGAAGTTTGCAATATGTGCATTGCAATATGTGGTGTATCTTTTTGCTGTTTATATGCAAATCAAGGAGCTGATTCTGTGATCCATGGATATATGTAGCCAAAAAACATTTATATCCCCCACGAATGTGCTACAAAATGCATGCCTTTTCTGGGCTAGAGAAAGCAATGTAGGACATTTTCTTTTAAAGTTTGACCCTGCCCCAAAAAAGGGGAATCCTGCCCATACTCAAAATGTGTTAGAAATAAAGGATTCAATAGCTTGTTTCTACAAAATGCAGAAGAGCCTTCCTTACGTTCTTGGCTGACTTCAGATTGGCTTGCTGAACATGACAAAAGCCAGACATCTGTGGGACATACAGGTAGAGGATCCCAGTTCAAAATATACCATAACAAATTCTCAGGTAGTGCTTTAGCCTGCTAATTACGTTGTTGTAAGGTTGCCTTAGGATAGGACCAAATTTCCCATCAACACTTCAGACTTCAAAAAGGAAGCCATGGCTTTGAATTTACAAAAAAAGAGCAGGGTTGTCCTGGATAGAACATTTTGGAGGGCTTTCAATCACAGAATCACCATACATTAGAGATAACTTGATGGCAACATTCACAACTACAGTCTGGCCAATTTCAATTATCCTCATGAATTGCTTGACTAGGATGATGAGTTCAAAGGTCAGGGAAGAATATGCATTTATCCCATATTTTCATTTTTTTTCCAGCTTCTATTCATTAATTTTCAAGAAAAGACACATAGGTTATAAACATACATTAAAATCTGTGCCAAGCCTCCCTGTATCACACCAGAACCATTCAGTGAGCACCACTGCATCATATTATACTCCCATATTATGCCCAACTACTTACTGCTTAGTATGTGTTCAATTTTGGAATTATTATTTATGATTATCAACAAAGATATATAGATGCTGACTTTTAGCGCAGGGAAAACACTTCTTGCTGTTTGTTCAGTGCTTACTAATTCCATTGAGGGTACATAAGACTGAATCTTTAACCTTCAAGTATATGCTCTTGCCATGTATACATGTCTTGTATACAATTCAGCATAATTCTGCAGCATGAACTGCACCATTTGGAACAATGGCCTTTAGGTTACATAAAAGTTCTATCTGGTTGCAAACCAAAGTTTTCTAGTTGTTAGAACAACCAGCTAGAATGCATGGTTGCTCAGGAAATAGATTTGAAAGTAAGGAACTTGGCTTAAGTAGATTATTTTAACTGGAATGCCTTCCTTGGAGATTTAACCCATTATTTAAAATGATGTTGATTTATGATCAATTCATTTCAACACAGAGATGCCATTCTTGGAAGCACCCATATATCTGCCATAATGTTTAGTTCTACCTTAAAACCAAAGACATGGGATGTGGAGGTACAGCTGGCATGACTGTATTTGTCTCATCCTAAAATGCAACCATTTGGTGTATTAAAAGGAAATAGGAAGAACCAACAATAGGAAGAACCCTTTCTCTTTCATAGGAGCACCACAGGTTTACAAGAATCTATTCTCCAGAAAAAAAAAATAGAGGTGCATTTTTGCAGATCAATGACATGTTGAAGAAGTTTACTCTTCAATGGCAAATGGTTGTATAGCCCTGAACTGCATCTTTAATTGCGGCCATGTGCAAAATCTAGTCACAGCAGTAAAGATCAAATGAAATGAAGTGAGATGCAGATAATAAAGTACCAATTTTAAACTCAGATCCAAATTCAACAATACATGTGAAGCTACCTCTTTGCCTAACTTACTTCATAGGATTCTTATTACATATGCTATAGGAATGAAGCAATGAAATAAACTTAATTCCATCAATTTTACCTTCCTTCATGAGTCTCAGTAGTTTATCTGTGATAGCCAATTTAAATACCCCTGTTTTCACAATATGTGAAACTCTCCAATTATTAGTATTTGAACAGGAGAGGGATTTGGATAGAGGCAGCAGCTTTTCATTGATTTGTACCATCATCTGACATAGCAGCAATGAGAGAAGAACATTCACCCTGGAGTAAAGCAAAAGTGAATCTGGCAGGAAAAGCACAATTACCTTTTGTGCTAACCTAACACAGCGTTGATACTCCTTGACCAGCTCTGAGCAATTGAGGACTTGGTGCCTGTTTTCATTGTAGCAAGTCAGGATTGCTTCCTGTAGGTTTGCACATATAGGTTGAGTGTTTCTTCGCCTGTAGGGAAAAGAAAAGAAATCTGTGACTTGCCCTTCTCACTTATTTCATCAATGCAATCGAAGAAATGGTACCAACAGTACCAATGCTGTTGGTCAGTTAAGTGCAGCCTCTTTTTAATCTATAGTATCTCACTTGGCAAGGTGCCAATCCCAGACCTGGTGCTTCTTGGTTCAAGCCCTGGTATGACTATGATCCTGATACGGTAGTGATGAGAAACATGATAATGCATGTTCTTCTTTGTCTCCATGTCCTGCTTATACGCAGACCATAGTTCAGTAGTAAAGCACATGCTTTGCAATGCAGAAGTACTTGGCTTCTCTCTCAGACATCTTCACTTCAAATGAGATTCCCAGTTCCAGGGAAGGCCTGTGCCTCACACCTTAGCGAACTGTAGCTAGCTAGAATAGATGGTTCCTAGGCTAAATGGGACCAATGGTCTGACTCAGGCCACTACATAAGTTCTTTTACGCCTGCAAGTGCTTGACAAATGAGGGTAATCTCTAGAAAAAAAATCTAGTGCATAAAGAGATGTAGGATTTTCCAAAGGATGTATTCCCATCTAGATGAGCTGAAAGGAGCAACAGAAGTAGCATGCCAGTTGAAGGACACCATCTGGTCTCTTCCTGACAGAAGCCCAGTAACCAAGTAAAATCAGAATAGATCCTAGATTTTTCTTTGAAAGGTTTTGGTTGGATATTCTTCTGTTTTGTAGCTTCAGATTCATTCCAGAGACTCAAGAGCATTTATGAGCAACATTCTACTCTCTTTTCCATCTGGAGAACCAACAGCAATGCAATTTACTTTTGATAAGCCACAGTCAACAGATTTCAGTTCTCTCTGCTTCTCACAAACTCACATCCTTGCAGGGGAAGGTCACCTCTAGCAGCTGCTGTGAAAACTAGAGGGAGTCCATTGTTCTACAGAGTTAAAATCCTATGAAACACCTTCCAGAACTTTGAAGCAAGAAAGAACTTAACAAGGAGCTTCAGAAACTCATAAGGTTGGCATTTTGTTCTGTCACTGCAATTTTAATATTGTTCTAATCACCTGAATGAGCCCCTTGGAAACAATACCAAACAGAACTAGGACAGGAAATACCACAAAATCCTTCAATTCATTGGGAAAGTTAAGACTCTTAAAATTAGGTTTTTAACTCAGAAGGTTTGTTTTAATAATCTAACCGAACATTTTATAACTTCAAGGGAAGGTGGAAACATGATGCTGAGTATTAAGGTCAAATATACTGCACCATTCTGTAAGTGAACAGTTTGTGATCAAGTCTTGTGATTTCTAAGAGCCCATGTGAAACCCCAGCTCCTTCATTTAAAATAATCACCCAGGGTAATCTGCTGGTCTTGTTCTTGGAAAACAGGGTAGTTGCAGAAACTTGATATCCCTTTTATCATCTTTACCCAATTAGCCAATGCTGATGTTTTACAGCGAATAAAGATCTTGACTCCATCTTTCATGCTTCTGTAGGATTAAGGACTGACTACTACAGTATGCCAGGAGTGGGCACATGCGGGGAAAGTATACATGGTTTGTGTAACTGCTCATCACCATCCATTCCACAAAACATCAAAGGTGAAAGGTCAGGTTCCCCATACCTGCAGTTGCCACTTCTGCTGCTTCTCTGCTCTCCAACAGGAAGAAAGACTAAGTTGCACAGCTATAGTCTCTTCTGCTCCTGCCCCCTAGCTAAATAATTTAATGCTATATCTTGCCCTAAGAAATGTTGGGATAATAAGCTTGTGTGGTGTGTAAGACAAATTAGATTTGGACCTAAATTCAAATCCCTACAGAGCAATGAAGTTCAATGAGTGACCTCAGGTAAATCACTTTTCTCAACCTAACCTCTCCCATAGGGCTATTGCAAGATTAAAACGCTGATACCCCCATACATGTCACATTGCTCTTCTTGGAGGATGAATAGGAAGGGAAGTAGACAAAAGATAAGAAAGATGTTGGGCCTGAATGCAACGAAAGGTTTCCTTCCATCAGCCATTCCCTGAGATAAAGCACAGAGCTAAAAGGTGATCTCGCTACATTTCGATACACTGAGAGTTACCAAATCCAGAAATCCCTGCTCTCCCTCTTTGAGCATCCCCTTTATTTAATAAACGAAATCTCATCAACTTATCCTTCTTCTATTATCACTGCTGACATCAATCTGATAATATTGGCTTGGCGTGGAATCATGCTATTATATGTCCTCCTGATATTTAATTTAAGAGAAACGTCTGCAGTGGGGTGAATATGTGAAGCAAGCTTTTTATTACTGGCAGCGGTAAGGATGGTGGGAGTGAATTAGACATTCGTCTTAGTCAGGGCCAATGTAGTAGCTCACAAGTTATTCTGTCTTTAACCCTTTCCTGCTTGGTAGTGTCAGGTAATGGCAGTCCTAGCCAAGGGCTGCCTTCATTTGTCTCAGAAAATTTGGCTTGCTGTGTAGATTTACAGTGAAAGGAGGAAGCACCAAATGTCACAGAAGTTAAAACAAGAATTTTCACAATCCATTCCCAAGTATTGTATTTTGGAACGTGCTAGTCAGTTCAATCAATCACGAATTCACTGTTTCATCCCAACAAGCATACAGCCAGCCTGTGTTTCCAATTTCTGCCTAAAACCAATTTCTGGCTTCCACAGTTTACAAAGAGAAGAGCCAGAGAACATCCACAAGTTGCTTGCCAAAGATGCCTTGTAGGTTGACTACTATGGAAAAGAACGCATGGATCTGGGAGTAGAAGATAGCTAGAAAATGCAAGTATCTGCTCTATTAGTGATAAAGCCCCAGGGTGTTCAGCTCAACAGGAGAGCTAGACTGAAAGGATATTGGCAAGAAATGGTTCTAATTCCAATTTCTGGAAGGCAGGTGAGAAACTCATTAAAAGTACAGAAAGTTGGACTGGGTAATTCTGAGCCAGTCGCTGACTCTCAGCCTAATCTACCTCACAGGGTTCTTGTGAGGACAAAATGCCGCTTTGGATTTCTTTTGTTTAAAAGGTAGGAAATAAACATAATAAATACAAATTATGGCTGAAGGATGTGGTACTGTGACACATTTCCAAGGAAGAAAATTTACACAAAGCATCCAAGTGATGGGATGGCATCACTTGAGTTGCACAACGGGAGAAAGGTGAGACACAGATATAATAAAATTTTAAAAAGCTTTGACATTCTATGCTTAGCATCTAAACTTTTCTCAAATCCAAGAACTTCCTGACCTAGCCATTTACTTCATGCCAGACTTTCCTTCGACATATAAATACAAGCAATAATTGCTGAAATACTATTCTAGCAAAACAGACTAATCAACTGGGTACTTAAATGTTGTAGTGCATTATTGGAGACCTGTTAGGTCCAGTTTGCACTAAAAGACAGAAATGATCTCAGGGAGGGGCAAACAAAGGACATCCCTCTCAGACAGAGATGGGGAGCATCTGGTTCACAGAGCCTCCCACCTGCCATATGGAGGACTTGGCTCTCTCTGTGGGCCCCACTCCCTTCCCTCCTTGACCTAAGACTACCAATGCCTTGGGAAAAGGAAGAGAATCCCCACCTAGTCTGCAACCCTTGACTGGGGCTAATGGGAGGTTCCACTGGCTTAGTGTTTTGTGCATACCTTTTCCCACTGGGAGGACACTGTGCAAGCAAAGCACCTTGACTGAGACTATATCTGGACTGTGCCTCCAGCTGCTGTCTCAGTTTGGGGGGCGGGGGGTGCTTTGCTACATGTGAGTTGTCCCTTGCTTATAATCATCTATCCCCTAGGGGGCTGCATGGGGTGTAATCAGTTCCCTATCCATTGTATGTTCCTCATCCCTGCTCAAAGAAACAAGAAAATGGCCATGAAAGTAAACACACAAAATACTAAGCAATGAGGCCATGTGAGATGGAGAGATCTTTGGGAAATTTGCAGGATCCAAGCAGAAGACATCAACTGAGTAAAGTTCCCTTCATTATTTGGGACTAGATGCCAACTTTGAAGCATTTTTTTATTAAACAAATAATCAAAAATATCAGAGAAGAACAACTTTTACTTTTTTCCACCACTGAACTTATTCACACCATGTAAAGAAATGAAAACTGAAGCACCTTGCACTCCTGCATGAATTGGAAGGGCAGAAATAACATGTGTGGTAAGAAAGTCATCTACACACATTCATATGCATAGCACCTACTGCAAAGAAGAGACACATGTAAGTCATGAGACTGCAAGTTCTTCCTAATATTATGAACATAAGCCATGCTGCATGAGAACAAATGTCCATCTAGTCCAACAGTCCACACACACAGTGGCAAACTAGCTGTCCACAGGATCCCTCAAGCAGGATAGCTGTAAGATCTTCTCCTGCCCAAACTCTCCAGCAACTGGTGTATGCAGGCCTGCTGCCTCTGGGAAAGGAGGTAGCACAGAGCCAGCAAGGCTAGTAGCCACTGATTGCCTCCTCTCTCATGAATCTGTCCAATCCCTTTTCAAAGCCATCCAGATTGGTGGCCATCGCCACTTCCTGAGGCAGTGAATTCCATGACCTAACTGTATGTTGTAGGAAGGACTTCCCTTTATCTGCCCTAAACTTCCCACCAATCATCTTCATGGGATGACCCTGGGTTTGAGTGTTATGGGAGAGGAAGACAAATGTCCTCCTCTCTACATTGTGCATTATTTTAAACACCTCTACCATCTCCCCTCTTACTTGCCTTTTACTAAGCTGAAGAGTCTCAGTTGTTGTAGCTGTTTCTCATAGGCAAGATGCTTCAGTCCCCTGATCATTTTTATTACCCTTCCCTGTACTTTTTTCCAACTCAAAGATTTGTATAATGGAAGTAAGATTTCGGCAGTTCTGTTTTCTATCCCATTTCTAATTATGCCTAGCCTGGAGTTTGCCTTTTTCACAGCAACTGTACACTGGCCTGTCACTTTTATTCAGCTGTCCACCACTACCCCAAGATCCCTTTCTTGCTCAGTCAAGAGGCAGGCAGGGATTGCTCACTAT